ACCACCACCACCACCACTACTACTACTACTACTACTACTACTACTACTACTACTACTAGTGCTGCTGCTGCTGCTGCTGCTGCTGCTGCTGCTGCTGCTGCTACTGCTACTACTACCACCGCTACTACTACTGCTGCTGCTACTGCTATTGCTACTGCTAGTGCTACTACTACTACTACTACTACTGCTGCTGCTGCTGCTGCTGCTACTACTACTTCTACTAGTACTACTACTACACTACTACTACACTAACTAACTATTTATATATATATATACACATATATATATATATATATGTATATATTAAATACTTACACACACACACATGTATACTTCTTGGTACGTATAGAGATGTGCTAGCTACATTGAAGATGCAACATGACTGCCGTGAGTAAAACACTGGCATTCGTAGTTGTATTGTGGTGCAACGATTTTGGGGCTTGTGTTTAGGCTTCAGGCTCTTCGCTGCGAGTACATGTTCGACCCCCTCCATGAGGTGGTTGGGGGTCGGCGCATGAGTTGCACCGCCCGCCCTCCCACGCAAAATACAAGCTTTGAGCGGGTTTCGGGTGGTTAGCCCCTCCCCCCCTCAGCCCGTCCTATCAGTGGTGGGCCCAGTGGGGGGGCTTGAAAAACGTTCCTGCAAACTCTGAGTCGCAACGAAAACCAAAGCCAGATTCAAAGTGAAATCGCAGCAGATGCACGCCCGTCAGCTTCAATCAATGTCATCTAGATCTGTTTTCTGCACCACGACCGCAGCAGACGCAATTCTTACGTCATCGGAGTTGGTTTCTCAAGTCGATTACACTCCGTGGTCTGCTCAAATATCTTCAAGCAGCGATACCGCCACCACCACTACCACGACCACTAGCACGACCAGTACCAGTACAAGCACCAGTGCCACCGGCACTACCATTACCACTTCCGATACCGCTACCATTACAGCTGCTGCCCTTCGGGCTATTGCACATACAAGAGTTCAGAACACAGAGCTTCTGCACACAGCATGTCGTACCCTAAACCGTAAGTTTTGCAAGCCCGAACCCGTGAAACTGCCAGCGCAGGTGCCTGCGCAGGTGGCCTTTACCCAGCAGCAGCAGCAGCAGCAGCTGCAGCAGCTGCAGCAGCAGCAGCAGCAGCAGCAGCAGCAGCTGCAGGCTGTTGCGAGTTTTTGACGTGCATGGGATTTACAGGGTTTCTAATTTTCTGGGCTGGTTCTCAGACAAAGGTTAAAACACACGAAACCCTGCAGCAACTAGTATTCCTTTTCGTAGCAGCTCCATGGCAACCGTAACATGTTAAACCCCGTAATATTGAGGTGGGGCTGCGGCTTTGCAGTGTTCTTTCGGTTCTCGGGGGGGCTCCAGAAATGCTTCGCGGGTCTCTGATGGTGCCTAAACCCTGACTCTGCTAAGCACAAGCGTGCTGGCCGCTGTGAGACTGTAGAACCCGAACATTTCGCTGCGAACCCCGGCTTCCTAGACGACCTCATGCACCTCAGCCCGTGTCCCAAACTTTGAAACCTACCAGGTTTTTTCCCAACTAGCCTGATAGACGCCCGAAGCCCTAAACCAATTAGATTTGCAAGCCGACCAGGCTGAGAGGCAGCTGCGCGAAGACAATTTCGGCTCCGGTTTCGTTGAGGCGTTCGGGGTTCAGAGCGTGAGGGTTCAGGATTTCGGGTTTAGGGCTGAGGGTTTAGGGTTTAGGGGTTTAGGACGATTTAGGGTTTAGGGTTTGTGGTTTCGAGAAGAGGGTTTCAGGGCTTGGGTGTTGAAGATTTACTTGTCCAACATTGCCGGGCTCTACACCCCATGCTCTCTTCAAGCTTGGCAGGCTCTTCCCGCACTTTAGGGTTTAGGGTTTAGGGTTTAGGGTTTAGGGTTTAGGGGTTTAGGGTTTAGGGTTTAGGGTTTAGGGTTTAGGGTTTAGGGTTTAGGCCCCGAAACTAGGCCTCTCCAGTAGTAGCCTTTTGCCCATTTTGCTTTGGCCGGCTCCTTTTTCAAACCGAATTGAGTAGGAAAAAGAGTGCCCGTATGATGAAAGGGGCTACTGGGGAACCCAGGAAATATTGAGCTTGTGGGACCTGAAGCGTCGAAGCCGTCTGCTTTCGTGCTCTTGGTCATGATTGTGTTCTTGTATTATAAAGCTCTTCAACGGTTTGACAGATCTGGTTAGTATTCGGGTTTTAACTCTAAGCCCCGGGGTCTAGGGGCTTGCGAGAGAAAACCTGTACGGGCTAAGGTTCGGGGTTTAGGGTTTAGGTTTCAAGGCCGTAGGAGTTGAGTTGGCTTGCATATATATATATATATGCCATATATATATATACACACATGGATTGTACGTCCATACGTAATATATACGCCACATATGTTTGTATGCCGTACACGTAGATCAGTAGGAAGGATGATCAAGGCAAAAAACCTTGAGGCGAGTGGAGCAGAGAAGTTGGAGACTCATTGTAAAATGGAGCAATGCTAGGGTTTATGGTGTAGAGGGGCTGCGGGGTTTGGGGTTTATGGTTTAGGGTGGTTCCAAGAAGAAAGATATGCTTGACGCAGCCCCGACGCCTCTGAACCGGGTAGCAGCCCACCCTAAAGATCCTGAACCCAAACCGTCACCCACACCGGTTTGGGCTCAAAGGACATGCAATACAGCATATGAGATGGGAACAATTACCAATACCATTCGGTGGGGTTCTTAACATAAGTATGCTATGGTATACCACCAACACGCCATTGTAGTCACTGTAGTTATTAAGGCTCCTATATCACACCCTTATCGTAGCCCTGGTCTAATTGTTAAGGCCCCTGGGCTGGGTCTTCTTGGTCCAGGGCCTTGAAGAGCTTCCTTTGGCACCCGGAAGGGAATCCTCGAGCTTCAGCGTTCAGGAACGAGTTTCTTTGTTTGCACCCTTTGGCAACCTTTGTGGGACCCTTAAAGGAAACCTTCAGAGAACCTGTTCTAATCATTAAGGCCCTGGAAGAAGAGCTTCGTCTGGCACCCGGAGGGTGCCAAGCCCGACTTAGAAAGAGAACCCTAACCCCCAAACCCTAAATCCGAGTTGTTTCTTGCAACTTCAAGCCATGAAAGCTCCAGGACAAGATGAGGAGTTTTCAGCAGGCTCAGCTGTGTGCTGCTTCCGGGGGCTTTGGTTCCTAGCGAGAAGAAGGCTCGGGGCAGAATGTGGATATAAGATAAGACTCAGTGCCACTCATCCTCCTTGGCTTCACACCCGAAGCTCTTCTGCCTTCCGTCCAAAGCACTTCGCCACTTAACGGACATAGAAGGCCACCCACAAGACTGCAGTATCGACCAATATCGAGTACAGAGCTGCTTCTTATACCTGAAAAGAGCACGCACTTTCTTGGGTCAAAAGGGGCAACATTGCGGCAATATGTTCCTGGCTTTTGCCTGCCGAATGGCAAACGGCATCGCTTTGGGCTCCGAGCGGTTTGTTTGCGGTTTCGGGATTTTGGGCTTCGGTCTGTCGGTAACGGTTTAGGCTTCAGGGTCTGAACCCCAAACCTTAAAAGCTCCAAGCCCTAAAACCAAACAAACCTCAACTCCAAACCCTAAGCCGAACACCCTTGTGCCAGAACGCGGAGATCAGCGCGAGGCAAGACGAGGCCGGGCGTGGCTGCTTCTTCGTTGCCTTAAACCTAGGAGCCATAGTCCCGTATTCGACAAGAATTCTCTTCGATTCATTTCGGGCCCCGTTAATATTGGGATTCCTACTGTGGGATTGGGTACTGGTGCTGGTAACGAACTTTAGTAGAAGCGATGACTACCGAGAAAAACCACTGTTCTAGGTGTTGTGGTTACGGATGATCTTCTTGCCGCTTTTGTGTGAAGCATTCGGAGGCTTGCTATTTCACTGTCCTATGCACGGCAGACGGAGGGAATGAGGTCGTATGACATTGTAGTTGGATAGACTACTTGTAAGACGGGTATAGGTTTGTTTTGCGTAGTAGTTGACTTTCTTGCCCGCCCCCAGGTTCTCTAAGCATTGTACATCAAACCCTCAACTTCACCCGACTTCCGAGGACAGCACTTCCATTCCTAACTCAAGCTCTGAAATGACGATGAAACCCGGCTCCTGCTAATTTCGTGGAGACATGCAGTTTCCTACGATTTCTGTGTTGCTTGTTTTGGATCCGCCCGGCTGCAACTAAAGCCAGATGTTTCAGCTTGTCAGAGTTTGGGGGTGACGGGCGTGGGAGGAGGACTGCCGTGTTCCAAAGATGTGCAGATGGTGCAAAAAAAGTGCATTGAGCCGTAACCAAGATCGTTCCATTGTGCAAGGAGTGTTCCTTGCAAGTGGTCGCAAGAAGCCCGGAACCCCATTCTTACCATTTAGGCCCCGATGTAATGATCGAAGGATGGCCCGGCACTGGTACCACCAACGACCCAATCGAAAAAATCTAGACTCGAGAGGTATTACTGTTAGGCTCGGGCCAAAAACGGCACTGAACCCTATGGCATGTATAGCCCTAAACCAGAATGTGTCACCAGAAGGATAGATCCTCACCTCCAAAGCCCTGACCCTAAACCCTGATCCCTAAACCCTAAAACCTAAATCCTAATCCCTAAACCCTCTACCCTAGTCCCGAAACCCTAAACCGTAATCCTAAACCCTAAACCCTAAACCCTAGCCCGAAGAAGCACCTTGAAGCAGTACCGGGGAGGCTCAGCGGCGCCGACAGAAACAAGCCGAGGTCGTCCAAAATTTGGGTTGGTGGGTTTGGGGTTTTGTTTTTTGGGTTTAGGGAATTGGGTTAAAAGAGTTTGGGGGTTGGGGCTTTAGGTTTCTGGGTTTAGGTTTTGAGAGTTAGTGTTTTGGGCTTGAGGTGTCTGGTGCAGGGTTCTTGTTTTGTCAATTTTGTATAGGTTCTTTGGTAAAGTTTGTTTGCGTGCAGCGTCCTGGTTTTTGGGGAGGAATAGATCTCAATGTTCTCTATGGTGAGGTGTTGGTGGTCAGGGATATCGGGTGTTGTTTATGGTGTTTCCGGTCCGGTTCCTGTTTTTCCAATTGCGGGCAGCCCTTACCGCGCTTCGTGGGATTCAGGCATTATAGAGTTTAAGTTCAGCCTTGGTAGAATATGCACGTACAATCTTTCATCCGTTGTGTACGTGACTGCTGCATCAGTGCTTTAGTAGGGAGAAAGGCCGTGTGCACATGCCATGGTATAGAGTCCCACTTCCACTTAACGGTATACTGCAACCTCAGTGCCGGAGAGTGGGATTCCTATTCTATAGCCCTCCAAAAGAGCACGGAGATGTAACACAGAAGACTGAAGGCTATTTGCCTAAAACCCAAGCCCCGAACCGCAACGCCCTAAACCCCCAAATCCCTAAACACGAGGCCCTAAACCCGAAACTAAAGGCCCAGGCCCCCTCTCCGCTTTTACATCCTCCCGCGTCAGGAGGAGAAGAAACGGCTCGAAGAGGACGCGGAGGCTCGACGTGCTTCGTAACGACAGAGTTGGGTGTTTTTTTTCGCGGGTTTCAGTTCAGGCTTTCGGGTATGTCGGTCTAGGTTTCAGGAGGCGGCGGGTTTGGGGTCTAGTTCTTGGTGGATCTTTGAGGGAGCTGGTGCGTCCTAACTTTTCAACACCTTTTCAAGCTTGCCCTGTTCAGCAGCATCGGCAGGCACCCGCCATACAACACGTGTCCCCAAGCGGTTGAATCTGAAACTTCACTGTTGAACCCTTTCATGGCGAGCGAAGACGATGATGTGGGACTTTTGATATTCCTAAACCCTGAACCCGAAACCCTCGACCCCAAAAGGGAGGATCCCGGACTTCCGGACCACGGAACCTCTCTAAACCCTAAACCCTAAACCCTAAATCCTAAACCCTAAACCCACAAGGTACGAACGAAGAGAATATGCCGGCAACACTGGAAGCAGACCACCAGGAGACCAGGAGACCAGCGGACCTGGAGCTGCCAAAACCTACCTTTTTGGTAGGGTCCCTATTGATTTCCATGTTGGGGTTTGTAGTAAGACCCCACGGAAAAGGTAGGTTATGGTACCTTACCCTAAACCCTAAACCCTAAACCCTAAACCCTAAACCCTAAACCCTAAACCCTAAACCCTAAACCCTAAACCTTAAGGTAGATCTTAAACCCTAAAGAGAGCTGTGGGCCTGCCCAGGCCGAAAGAAGGCAGGCTGCAGAGGAGGCCCACGATCCGGTGTAAACTGGTTCAGGGCCGGGGTGTAGGGTTTAGGGTTTAGGGTTTTAGGGTTTAGGGTTTAGGGTTTAGGGTTTAGGGTTTTAGGGTTTAGGGTTTAGGGTTTAGGGTTTAGGGTATCCCATGTAAAACAAAGGCCAGTTTCCAACAAGTAAGTGCTGCACATGTCGATAGCCGTAGTCCAACCGTTGCGAAGCTGATGCCTCGACGGCCGTGGGATAGCTCGACCCACGTTGTACAATAAGTGCACCTGTAGGTACAAGCAGATGCTATCACAAGGGCTAGCAATGTAACCACAATCGCAGGCAAACATCATACCCTGAAGAACGTAGACCACCCAGGAGCATGTGCCAGTTTGCTACTATGGCTCTTCGAATCCCACCAACGAAGATGTCCTAAACTTGAAACCCTAAGCCCGAAATCTTAAAACCAAAACTCTAATCACCTAAGAGTCTCTGGGTTAATGGTTAGATGAGCTTCTAATGTACTTCTCAAGCCCCAAACTCTGAGGTATGTAGAAGAACTCAGTCAGCTTCCTACACAAGGGTTTCGGGCTTGGGGTTTAGGGATCAACAACGCGTGAGGCTGAGAAGAAACGCTGTGCCGAGGAGGCTCCTGTCACTTTGGGTTCATGAAAGCCTACTTTGGAGGTTTGGCAAGGCCTATCTCTGCCCATGATTGACGTGGGCTGTCACGGGTGACCAAGAGAGATCGTGTTGCAGAAACTCGTGTGTCTAAACTTTGTCAAAGTTCTGCAGCTTGAAAGCGCAACTGCCTTTTCGATGCCCTGCTGGCTGTGTTGTGGTTGTTGTGCTTGCTGTTGTGGTGGTGCTGGTGGTTGCGGTTGCGGTTGCGGTTGTGGTTGTGGCTATCCAATCATGGATCGTGTTCGTGGTTCACCTTAATTTCCAAATTTTTGGGTTTGTTTCCAGGTCTTATCTGTGTGCTTCCTGGCGGCTATCTCTTGACCTAACTTATGAGGAGAGACTACAGCTATATTTTAATGGTATATATCCTAGTTATATTTAACACTATAGATCTACCCTTAGTTCTCTCTTCTCCATTGTCTTCCGCTCGATTCTTACTTTGTGGCATCACGGTCTTTCATTCATCACATTCTTCTATCTTCTGGGAAGCGAAGCGAATAACTTCCTCACGTGTTCCTCTATCTTTCTCTCCTTCCATTCACACATCACCAGGACACATTTCTATCTCATCTGGTATCCCTTGGCTGTAGTGGCTGTAGTGGCTGTAGCTGTGGCTGTGGCTGTGGCTGTGGCTGAGGCTGTGGCTGAGGCTGTGCCTGAGGTGGTTGTTGTTTGTTCGTTTGTTTACTTGCTTGCTCGCTCGCTTGCTTACCTGCTTGAATGTTGCTTGTGTTGTTGTTCTTGTTGTTGCTGCTGCTTGTTGTTGTTGTTGTTGTTGTCGTCGTCGTCGTCGTCGTCGTCGTCGTTGTTGTTGTTGTTGCCGTCGCCGTCATGATCGTTGCTGTCCCGAAGCCCCGAAACCCTACTTGTAGCTACACATAGGGTCCAGCAGCTTTCTGTCGAAACGAACCAGCACGATGAGACCCTAAACCGACCCAAAGCCCCCTAACCCACAATAGCCTGAGCATCCCTGAACAGCAACTAATGCTGTATCTTCAAATGCCTACACGTACAGACCAATGCAAACCTATGACCCCCAAAACAATCGAGGAGGAGAACCGCCGCCGCAAGGCAGGTCCGGCCAGCACTGAGGTGATTCTGCAGGTTTCGGATGCGAAAGGTTTAGGTTTCAATGCCTGCTCTTGTCAAGGGGTTCTATTTAGAGATCGAGAGCAAAGAATGGGGTCTCCTTATCATGGTAACCTAACTTAAACTCAACAACAACACAGTGTTCGGTGTTGAGAGTCGGGAAGGCTGCTTTCTTTTTGGAAGAAGAGCCCACAGATGAGACCCCAAGGCCTCAAACCGCGAGCTTTACGCCTGCGGAACCGGGCTGCCGGGATGCTGAAATTTAGGGCTTGGGGTTTAGGGGTTTAGGGGTTTAGGGTTTAGGGTTTAGGGTTTAGGGTTTAGGGTTTAGGGTTTAGGGGTTTAGGGGTTTAGGGGTTCAGCGTTTAGGGTATTTACAGAATCGTCACTTAAGTTGGATCTGCAGGGCAGGTTCGGTGGCAGCCAGGGCAGCATGCTTTTCGGTTATAACGAGAGAGGCTTCCGCATACAACAACCAGCAAGACGCCTTGCCCCTTTTGCCCAAGGTAGGCTGCGATAAAGGTGCACACCCTAACTCCGAAAGGCCCTGAAATCTTCAACAACCCTCATGCATTTGAGGAGAAGATGGAGAAGAAGCGCCAAGAGGCAGGTCCGGTGATAGCCGGAGCTTATGCACTTCCCTGTGGAAGCATTGCCGTAGGATTCAAGACTTGCTTTGCAGCTTCAGATTTGGAAGAGGTGTGGTTCTTACGGATTCTTCAAGTCTTTACGAGTAGTAACTGAGTAGTAAGAAGGAATGATCAGTAGTAGCGATATCCCACGAGAGTCCTTATAAAATGAAGCATAATAACATAGTACCCAAGCCCTAAATCCTGAACCCCAAAAACCCCTAAGCCCCTAAGCCTCTAAACCCTAAACCTTCTCGCACGGTTGAGGCGGGCGCCTGCAGGCTATCGTACATATCTTCGAGTTCTGGATGCACTACCCTAAACCCTAAACCCTAAACCCTACACCCTAAACCCTCAACCCTAAACCCTAAACCCTACACCCCAAACCCTAAAGCTGAGCCCCCAAGCGTTTCAGGCACTGGAGAGGAAGCGCCACGAGGCCGATACGCTGTTTAGGGGTTTGGGTTTACGACTCAGTTTAGGGCTTAGTGTTACGTCTTCAAGTTTCGGGTTTAGGGTGAGGTTTGGGGTCTAGGATTTAGGGTCTGGATGCACGTTGGACAGGGAAGTTTCAGGTTTCTGGAGATGCTAGCTCACTCAGGGGCTGAATGGGCAACCTTTTCACGTTTTGGGGCTTATACCCTAAACCCTAAACCCTAACCCTAAACCGTATAGGTTAGAATTTTTTTGGGCCAGGATTTTCCAGCCCTAAGTTCAAGTGTGCGAAGGGTCTGTGTGTGTGTGTGTAAACGAGCCAGAATGAAGAGAGCGGTTTAAGGTTAGGGTTTAGGGTTTAGGGTTTAGGGCCCACAATGCCTGAAATTGAAACCTAAGCCCTTCATTGAAACCCTAAGCCTAAACCCTCAACCTGAAATCCTTAGCCCTAAAACCGAAACTCCTAACCCAACAGCCTAAACTACCTTCAAGAGCAAGGGCCGGCAGACCCGCAACCATAGAGATATTCAGGAGGTTCAAGCGGCAGAAACAATGGCATATCATCTAGTATAACAATTGATAACCTGATATACTATAAGATATAATAGTGAGAGCGGAATGAAACACAGTAAAGTATCAAATAATATGATGTAGCATAGTGTGATATGCTATATTATAAGTTAGTGTAACTAGTGTAATATAGTATGGTAGTATAGCCTAGTGAAATATCATCATCGCTTGTTTCGACATATCGCACGTGGGCATGTCTTGCAGGTAGGCTTGCTGGCCAGGAAACTCAGCAGAAACCCCTAAGCCTATAACCCCCGAACCGTAAACCCGAGGGGGTAGACAAACAATAATCAGGTATTCGGAGTTACGATAGTAATTATGTAGATTAGTCTTTGGGAATTAGCAAGAAACAGACGGAGCATGGTCTGCTGGTCTTTAGCACGTCTTGTCTTGAGGATGATCAAGATGCCCTTTCAACCTTAGGCGATAGCCTAGGTCCCAATCGTCCATCTCCACTGCTCTGGAGCGTAGTTAGCTTCGAGTGACTCGAACCTCAGACCCATGACTCTCATGAGGACGCGGAGAGAAAACATCGGGAAGAGGAGGATGGGACGACTCATTGGATTCACTTTAGGCTTCGAGGGTGTCGTTTGAGTTTGTCGATGTTGTTCGGATTTGGACGGTGTTTTTGGCCGTGCGGATGCGGCGAGTGAGACGCAAGAGCCCCAAGCAATTGGCCCAGCCCCGCCGAAGTTCTAGCCCGCTTTTCCGTGAACCCTTTAGCCGACAGTGCGACAAACGCTTCGCTGTAGCAGAAGAATTCGCGCGATGTAGAGGTATTCAAGCGGTTGGGCATGCTACGGTCGACCAGCCAGTTCACCGAGTATGCTTGCCGCGCTAGAGTATAGGCGTGCATCGTCGTAGTATGGTTGCATGAGGCAACCAGGAGCTGCTTGCACAGGATTATCCCCGCATGCATTGACAGATGCTACTGTCCAAACCGACCAGCGATTTGTCGCACCAGGCAGACTTCGCTGGCAGGTGAAAGAGAGTAGAAGCACACTTTCCTATCGGCCTTCTTGATCCATAGCTTCCAGCACAAAGGAGCCGAAAACATCCGGATCTTGGGAAATCCTGAAAAAAGCCCGAACACAAAGCGGACGGTGAATTGCCCACTGACCTTTAGCACGCGTCGTCTTTCTATAGTCGCATCTATATACATATGTATATACAGATATTAGAGAAGCCCTTTCAAGATTGCGCCCTGGCCCAGGCCCGAAACCCCCTCAACCGCAACCGCTGTGAGCCCCAGACCCAGCACTGACAGGAGGAAGCCAAGAAGCGTCGCGAGGAGGCAGATGGGTTGACACATCCGAGTCTTGTAGCCACATGGGAATAGAAGAACGGCGCTTGCGTCTTGAGCCATCCGGTACGTGCTCGGCAGGTTGTGGCAAAGGAACGGCCATGCTATGCCTACTAAATCTTCTACCTGAGCCTAGGCCTATAGGCATTAAAGAAGCTTTAACAGTATGCTTTAAGGAAGTGGTTTGACCCCTCAGACGTGCAGCTCTCATGAGTCGAGGAAAAGATGAAAGAAATGGAACGTCTTCAAGAGGCGGATTCGATTACACCCCGGATTTGCTTCAGGGTTTTTCGTTGGTGTGAGGCGTTTCAATCTATCAGTTTCCTTTGGAGTTCGACTTTTTTTTGCCTGCGGAAGCGGTGAGTGAGGTGCAAGATCCCAAGCAATTGGCCCAGTCCAGCCGAAGTTCACCCTCTAGCCGGCAGCCCTGTTCGACCGGCCAGTTCAGCGAGTATGCTTGCCGCGCTAGAGTATAGGTGTGCATCGTCGTAGTATACCATATATGGTTGCATGAGGCGACCAGGAGCTGCTTGGACAGGATTATGTTTCCCTGCATGCATTCACAGATGCTACTGTCCAAACCGACCAACGATTTGTCGCACCGGGCAGACTTCGCTGGCAAGAGGGTCCACATTCCTGAAAGAGAGTATAAGCACACTTTCCTATCGGCCTTCTTGATCCATAGCTTGGGGAAACCCTAGAAAGCCCGAACACAAAGCGGACGGTGAATGCTTTCCGAGCGGCCTTCCTGATCCACAGCTTTCAGCACTTGGGAAGTCCCTGAAAGCCCGAACACAAAGCGGCGGTGCATTGTCCACTGGCCTTTTATCACGTCTTGTCTACAGAAATACAACTTTCTTTTTAGTATATTGCAATGTAGTCTAGTCGTATAGTAATAGAAATGCCATATGATATACCAGAAGATAATATGGCACGAACTCGACCTATATAAATAAGTAAACAAATAATATATGTATATATATATATACACATACACACATAAAAATGGATAATACATATATATATATATATATTCACATCTATATATACGTATGTATATAGTAGAGAAGCCCTTTCAAGATTGCGCCCTGGCCCAGGCCCGAAACCCTCAACCGCAACCGCTGTGAGCCCCAGACCCACAACTGACAGGAGGAAGCCGAGAAGCGTCGCGAGGAGGCAGAGGGGTTGACACATCAGAGTCTTGTAGCCACATGGGAACAGAACGGCGCTTGCGTCTTGAGCCATCCGGTTGTAGCAAAGGAACGGCCATGCCATGCCTACGGTGAAGAGTCTGCACAAACCTTCTACCTGAGCCTAGGCCTAGGCATTAGAGAAGCTTTAACAGCATGCTTTAAGGAAGTGGTTTGACCCCTCAGACGTGCAGCTCTCATGAGTCGAGGAAAAGATGAAAGAAGTGGAACGTCTTCAAGAGGCGGATTCGATTACACCCCGGATTTGCTTCTGGGTTTTTCGTTGGTGTGAGGCGTTTCAATTTGTCAGTTTCCTTTGGAGTTCGACGGCTGTTTGCTAGGCTCCGTCCAACGGAAGTTCGAGCCCACATGTCTTGAACTCTCTAGCCGGGCAGAAGTTTCAGCGACTTCAATGTATTCAAGGCGTTGGGCATAGACGTTACAGTGTGGTTGCATGATCTAACGATCGAAGACTGCATTGACAGCATTGGGTTGCCTAGTATGCATTCACAGACGATACAGTCCAACCGTAGAGTCCAATAGTTGGTTCCATCAGGCAGGCTCGGCTTGCAGGAGCATCCTCCTTCATCAGCATACTTTCCGAGCGGTTTTGTTAGCCCATAGCTTTCCGCACAAGGGAGCAAACAAGCCTCGTGTTTTCAGAACTCCGATACAAGCAAAGCCCGTTGAAACGATGAGCAGAAGGTCCCTTGTCTGTCGGTCTCAGCACCCTTGTCACTTGCTAGGCTTATGATGAAGGAGCTGCATAAACCTTGGACCTCAGCCTATACCCTAGCTCTACACCCTAAACCCTTATATTGGCTCTAAACTCTAAACCCTAAAGCCTAAGCTCTGGATATGAGCCCAAAACCCTAAACCCTGCTCTCATGAGGAAGGGAGGAGGCTGAAAAGAATATTGGAGGAGGCCGATCTGGCGACACATGACATTAACTTTGGGGCTTGGTGCAGTTTGGGGTTCAGGGATTTGAGGGGGCAGTGGCGGCGTTTCAACCTAAACCCCAAACTCTGAACCCAAAATATTTTGGCCCAAACCCCTAAACCCTAAACCCTAAACCCCTAAACCCTAAACCCTAAACCCCTAAACCCGAAACCCTCTGATCTAGCAAGACAGGCGCAAGAGCCCCGGGCCCTCAGCAATGTTTCCAGTTCAGCTCCACTTGGAGCCTGCTTTCTGAACCCTTTTGAAGGGATTTGGGGGTTTTCGGGATTCAAGGGGTTTAGGGTTTAGGGTTTAGGGTTTAGGGTTTAGGGTTTAGGGTTTAGGGAGCCTGGAGCCCACAACCAACGAATTTACTGAAGTCTTCGCACAAGGTGTAAGCGGTTTGGGGTTTAGAATTCAGGAAAGTTCGGGGACGTAAAAGTATCTAACCCTTCGAGAATGCGACCTGCGACCAGCAAGTTCACTGGTCCTGCCTCCCACGATGGAGTGCAGATGCACATCATCGTAGTATGATTGATCACGAGCTGCTTTGGCGGGGTTGTGTCCAGGAAAGTTCGTTCCATCAGGCAGTTGGCGGATGGCAGGAGGGTCAGTATTCTTGAGGAGAGTCTTCACATACTCTCTGCTTGGCCTTGTTGATCCAGAGCTTCCAGCATAATGGAATAGACAGCACCCCATCTTGATGAATCCGATAGCCGCAAAGAAGGATAAGGAGCAGACGGTGTGTTGTCTGTGGTCTCATCGCTTTTGTCCGTTTCTATGCCTGCGGTGAAGAAGCTCTTTTAACCTTGAGCCGTAGCCCAAGCCCTGAGTCCTAAGCCACGGCCGTGAACATGAAGTAGCTTGAAGGCTTCAAGTACACCGGCTACACCCTCAGACCTGCAGCACTCCTGTCTTCAGCAGATCGTAAGCCTATGAAGAAACTGCCTGGCATGAACTGTGGACCTCAGCCTAGGCCTAGGCCGCTGCTCTGAAAATGAGCTTTAAGGCAGCGGCCTAAACCGCAAACCCTAAACCCTTGAACCC